ACACACACACACACACACACACACATACATCCTCTTCTGCTCTTTGGTGACATGCCCTTGTGATGAGACTCCGGAGCTATTTGAGGCATTGTTCTGATAAGCCCTGCCTGTGTGTGTATGTGGCCACACTGGCATTCAGCAGCGTGGGAAAAAGAACAAATGGCTGAGGAAGGCAGCTCTCAGTTGAAGAGGAACCGTTGGAGAACAATAAAAAAAAACCAGTCTATCTGATGAGGGACTGGACAGTTAGACTATGATGGCAGTCAAAGATTGCCAATGGGCTGCAACATAAGGTGATTCCTTATGTTGCAGCCGGAGACGAATGTAGGGATGGAAGAACTATTAAATATCCTTAAAATGAACTCAAAGTAGGAATAGAAGAATGTTTAAATACTCAATTACAATTAGACGTCCTGCATTGAAAAGATTAGCATCAAAAGCAGAATGTCTGCTGTCAGAGTATTAATTATTGTTGCATTGACATAAGTAGCATTTTAATATTGTAGTTGGTTGAGAGAAGATGAACTCCTTTATTTACTTGTGTGTAGTTTGATCTCTAAATGAATAACTACAGCTGTCAGGTAAATGTAAAGAAATATGTCTCCTCAAAAATACTTAAGGCGATTGCATTGCCTCTCAACAGCTCTCAACATTGCAATGGCTGAGCCAGCGGTTGCAGCTAACAGTGCTAACAGTGCTAACAGTGCAAACAATGGCAAAGGGGCTGACAGCGCTAACAGCGCTAAGCTAAGAGGGAACCAGAGGGTGGGTGCTACGCTTCGGGACAGCGTTATCAGATATAACCGCCGTAAGAGAGCAGTGCAGAGTGGCGGCCATGTGCTGGCCACTGGGGCACTCATACATGCACTTCATTCTCTGCTCAGGTAGACATTACTGCACTATATCTTTACATAGCAAATAGCTGTTTACTGCTATATCAATGCTCTGAATGTTAAAAAGAGAACCTTTACAATGTAGTGAAATAGAAGCACATTGTGTACCTAAGTACATGTAATTGTACTGAAGTACAGTACACACAGGACATGCAGTCAGTTAGTGGCCTTACTAGTTTGGTATGTGTTCCCAGAATGCTGTTCAAAGGAGAGAATCTTATGAATGTCATTGCATATTAAACGCTCTTAAATTGTTGTGTCCCACGGTCATTAACATACTTTATCACAAAAGGTGTGTAAACCATGCAATCGGTCCACTTCCTTAACAGACACGCATGACGCGCATGAGCCACATGAAGACACGCCGGTGAGAGTTATGAGATGTGCTGCAGGAGTCCAGCACCTCATACTTGCCAATTTGACTCTGCGAAGAATGGCAGGTATGCAGGTATGCAATCCTTCTCTCTGCCAGGAATGTAACGTTCACTCTGGTATCTGCATAGCTTCACTGCAGAACTAAAACTAAGCTGTGGTCGGAGCAGGGCCATGGACTGTACTTTTAGGCTTGATGGTTTAAGCTCTTTTAGGCCCGTGCTGTCCTGCTCCACAGTTAAAAGGTTTGTTGTAACAACAGTTTATCCGCCATGTTTGCAGAAACACAGTGGACTTGAAGTAGAACACTAAGACAATGACTCATTGTCAGATAATCATATCACATAAAGCCAAGAGGGACAGTGAAGGGATGATGAATTAGTGAGGAAAATCTTCTTAATGTTTGCTCATTGATGCAGCCGTGATTCGATTCAACAAGTCAATCAAAATCAAGTCACCAGATTCATTCAATGATTACCTTGAATTACCCCCAGGAATTTTAACCAGAAATATGTGATGCAATATTATCGGGGTGCCAAGAATAAAAATATCTATAACTACAGATCATGGCACAGCATGCAGAGTTTACATATATTCAAACCAGCCTTGCCTCTGTTATGCAGTTCAGGTCTGACTTCATCTGTGCTCAGAACTGGAGGGGCGTGATTCCGGTTAAACATGCCACACCTAGTTCCCTGTTCATTCATTGTTCCATTCATAAATCCAGACAGAGGTGTGCTGTCCTGTCGCTATGCTGTGATTGGGCGTGAAGCTTGCTTTCCCACACATACCAGGCAGAAAGGTAACTGGTGATAATGCAGTAAAGCAAATAACATTATCAGGGTTATCTTGCCATTGTTTATAGCTCTTCATCTTAAGCACACATATACAAATATAAAAGAACAAAGTAGTTGTGGTTGAAGTCACTTTAATGAAAGAGATTTTGGAGAGCTTTGTGATAACTCTCATACATTGGCTGACTTTTCAAGGACACGGTTTTGTTTCTCCCACAGCTCCTTCTAGTGTTTGAGAGAAACAGTGACATAGAGGTCAACTCAGGTTTGATTGCACTCCCACTTCTCTTCTAAAAAGAGTTTACGCATTCTCTATATATTGCCATACGCTCATCCAAAGGCATCACAGTCAAACATGCTCCAGCCTGAAATGAGTCGAAAAATAAATAAATAAAAAGGATCTGATTGTGCTTCGGCCAACAGCTGTCTAAATCCCTCCACCTGACGCCCACATACAACATTTAAACAGTGCAGAAGAAGATGATTGGAGGGATTTGAAAGAGTTGTATCTTGAGACGACAGAGAACATAGTGTGAAACCCACGCTGAAGTGTTAGTCACATCCTTGTTTGGCTTCACTCCTGGATGAGATTGTGCACCCCAAGGACAGTGGCTTTCCTTAAGTTTCCCATGAGGCCTCTGCAGTGTGTGGATCACCAAAGTCATTGGGATTCATCCTCTGGGCACCACGAATGTCTGTACAAATGTATCCATTACCTATTGAGATACTTCAATCTGGACCAGAGTGGTGGACCCACTGACCGACATTGTTGTCCATTGAGGCAAAAATGAAGTCAGGAGGAAATATCTTCCATCAGCTGATAACCAGAAAGAATGATCAAAATGTGTACAACGCTGTGAGTTCTTGTGCCATCAGAAACGTTATCAGATCTAAGATGTAATTGGCTCTTTAGTTCAATTCATTCAGTTCTGAACACCAACCCGGCATCAGCACCATAAAGCACCTCTCTATTCCCTTCTTTCTCTGGAACTCAATGTGGCTCACGCCACTTCCGACCGGGACGATACAAAAGACCCCAACACAGACAAGCTCGTTCACGCACACTCTTGTGTGCTCACGTACAGGCTCTGCCAAAAGCACCTTGGAGCCAAGAGTGGGACAGTGGGTGCAGCTGCAGCTGGAAGGCAGGTCAGGAAGAAGACTGCAACCAAACACTTCTGCTGGATGAGGATGAGATGAGGGCAGAGCGGTTCATTTAGGGATAATGCTAGCAGTCTGAATACTTCCTTTGTTCTACTGCTCTGGTCATGTGCAAAGCTCAGAGATCATCTCCCTTTGAGTCCACCAAACTGCTTTCTTCTGTATGTGTTGTTGATACATCTTCTCTGTGCATCCATCCATGCACACTTGACAAAACATCCAACATCTGAGTGGTGTTCAGAGGGTATCAAAGAGAGCACAAAAGATACAGCCTAACTGTAGGTTCTCTTTTTTTTTCAACCCCATCTTCTGCACAAAAAAAGTGCAGTTTAGTTACATCTAAACTGCACTCTCAATTATGTTTGAAGGGGAAAAGAATTATCCTGAATTGCTGCCGTGGTTTGGAAATGGAAAATAAAAAAAAAAAAAAAAAAAAAAAAAAAAAAGACTTCTTCGTTTTATAGGCAACAGAAGTACTTGGTTCGGTTCATTAGAAACATCACGGTTTGGCTTGAAATGACATGAAACAAAAGTTCTTGGTTCACGCAGGCCACAAACAGCAGTTTCCATGGCGACTTCATTCTCCGTCTTGACAGGACCAAATGAGTTGACTTGACATTTATCTTATAAACAGCCTGCTGCTGACCCCCCTTACTTTCTTTAAATTCACAGTATATCATTTCATGAGTATATTAATTGCTGTACGTGTCTCCAACATTATGTTGGTATTCTGAAGGTATACATTCATTTGACACCGTAGGCATACATTTTCATTGGAAACTGTAAGCAGAGAGTCCGCTGTGCAGTTCCATTTCCCTGGCCGTGTTTCAGAAAGCACAGAAATGAGTCCGACACAATTGGACTCCTTGTTACAGTGAGGCAATTCTCAACCCCCACACAGCAGCCTCAGTATGAATGGTGTCTTGTTCACAAGTCAGTAAAGTAAAACCCCCAAAATTACAGAAAGAGCCAGGAGAGATTTCAGTATGTGGTTTGTCTGCTGTGGAGGTCTGAAGGATCAGGACTCACTGCTGCCCGTTCACTCCCGCCGAAAGATCAAAACCACTCAAACATTTTATCATCCAAAAAAAAACAAAAAACGTTACGGACTTTGTGTTGACAGTGACCTTGTCCTCATGAACTTGTTTTCTCACACTGTTCCCATGAAGATTGAAACAAAACAGCTGTAAGTGTTGCTGGACGAGGTGACGGGATAAGAAAGCACCGGTCTTTCAGCACTTGGTGGAAAACTTGGGTTGCTTGGACGCGGTGTCACCATCCTCCTCCAGAAACTTCAGAGCACTCGGCCATTATCTCCCACAATGCATTACAAGGGTCTCTCAGAGGAGCGCGCATGCTTTCTCTATCTGCAAGACAGAATGCCAGACATTCTGGTTGTCTTGGCCTGATGCTGGGCAGACCGTAAGCAAATTCCTCCGGCCTGGATACGACAACTCTGCTACGTCACCGTGTTGTTTAAGGAAGAGACGGGTCGGTGCCTGCGCTCCAAGCCCAGCACGTTGAGGCTGTGACTGCATGCTGTTCTAAACTCCTGCTAATAATTTGCAAGCCATCACCTGACGCCTAACAGTGAAGTCACTGAGTGTGGCTATTCAGTGCCCAGTCACATTATGCTATCAACAGCATGTGCATTCACCCGGGGAAACTTACCTGAGCACACAATCAGCAAGAGAGCTGCAGTGAGCTGGCCAGTAAGGCTGTGACGAGGGGTTGCAAGGGGTCAAAAGAAGTTTGGGAACAACTGCTCTAGACTACTGCTAAAGCAACAAATGGTGCACACACACAAAGGACACAAAAATCCATTTCCATGTCGCACAACTTTAATAGAATATTTTAACTAACTGTACAAATTGAAAAGAAATATTGCGCAAGTAACAAATTGTGAATAAGAACCAGTTAAGGCCATTGCTAGCACACGGTCCAATGTGGTAGATTTGAAGATGTCAACCGTGGCTCTGAAAGATCTGTTCAACAAGATCTACAATCGTTCTTTTTAAAAAAAGAGAGAAGGGGAAACTGCTTTCGCTGACCAGGCAAAGGTGTCCCAATCAAACTGCCAAAATCCAAGTGCAGTATATAAAATACATTGGCAAACCTCTTCCATTTGTTTTCCACAGACATTCTACTGACTCATTAGACAATAACGGAAATATTGATATATTCTTAAACAACTTTAAATGCTGAATTAGATTACACTTTGTTAATGACAATTGGCAAACAATTGAATAAGAGAGGACGGTGTGTTTTGTCTCTCATTTTGGCTTCTTGGCGACGGAAATTACATTTGATTCAAACATCCTGCACCCTGTCCCATCACCGCCTGTCAGTTACATTTGTTAAGACCTAGATACATACCAGGAGTGATGACAACCAAAAAAAGGTTGCAGGTCAACCGATGCGTCTGCTTAAATGTGTCATATTTTAAGGAGATATTCACCAGAATGAATGAAATGCATACTTTTCAAATGTCTTGTTTTCTTAAAATGTTCTTATTATCCTTGATGACACAAACTCAAAAGAGCATTCCAGGGGTGATGGCGCAAACAGGGAAGAGCTATACATGACCGTTTTGAGGTAAACCACATGCTTGTCACATGTTAATTAATGTTTCTTGTCTACTCAAGTGCTCGGTTTAAATGCTTGTTAAGCCAAACAACAAAAAATAACTTGGCAGTACTCAAGTTGTTGACCTGCTATGCCCAAATAAAATTTGAGCCAATGAGAATGAGCCTTAAGAGCTCCCGAAATGCACCACTGACACCAGAATAAATAGTCCAATGACAATATGACAAAGAACATTTAAAAAAAAAGAAAAGTAAATTAAATTCAAACGATACATTGAATGTCTCTTAAAAAACACCCTAACAAAAGAAAAACACCACCCCAGTGAAAGATTAAGTCAGACTCGAACTTCTCTTGTTGGCATTATAAAACCCTGAGTAACCAATTTATTTCCATGAAAACTTGAGTTGGGATCCATTTCTTTCCTATCTTTTTTTTCTCCATATGATTATGTTCTGAGGTTCTTGGCAGTAGGAACCTCCCCCACCGTACCAAAGAAGACTGCCCCTATGTGACGCTATGGTCGTTCAATTAAATAGGGGGTGAGATGGGCGCAAGACAAAAGAAACAGAAGTCATGCACATAGTAAAAACACAGTTTGGTTTGTGTTCTATTGCGTTCATAATGGGGCGAGGCCTGCAAGAGTAGGAGGACTTGCTGATTGGCTAAGAACTGATTTTGATTTGACGGGCAGCAGGTGACCACCTCCCCCTGATCATCACGGTGTTACTGCTGTTTGCATTCGGCGGGCTGGGGCTGTTCTTTCTGTTGGGAGCAGACGGAGAGAGAGAGAGAGAGAGAGAGCAGGTTAGAAAACAAGACGGCAGAGAGCTAACGAGGCCACCGGGCATTAACCAGCAGCTAGAAGAGGCTAACGAGAAAGCAGACGCTAGAGAAGACAAGCGCCTGCTCGCTACAGCAAAGGGCACAATGTTAGAAACCTGGGAAGGGACGACAGGAGGAAAAACAAAAAGGAGGTACAGAGCAAAGACAGGACAGGGAGAAGAGAAACTAAATCTACCCAAGATGTGAGTTGAGGGTCCTAAACACTTCGGACTACTGGAAGTATCCAGGATGTAGTGAAAGAGAGAGAGAGGCAGCCAGAATAATAGACCAGAGCCAACGGACTAGACAGAGCATAATGTGGGACGTCATCCTGATTTCTCCCTTACCTAGAAATTGCATTGGGTGAGAATGATTGATTATGCCTGAAATGGAGGGGAATCCAGGGGAGGGAGAGACAACAATATGCACAAGTTTAATCGTCACAGCCAGAAATGACATTGTGAAACATTGCTGAATGAGCACATGATGAGCTGACAGGAGGTACCACGACAGAAAAGCTCTACTCATTCACAGACAAAGCAGCCGTGTTGGTGACTCCTTACAGGCCACGTTATGCACTTACTTAGTATCAGACTGGATTCGATTATAATGGATTATAGTCATCTCGTTATGTTACTCGCATGCAGAGTTGAACTATTCTAGCTGTTGGCAGCTGTGTTGTAATCTTGATTTAACATCAGGCTCTCTTAATCACATTCACTCTCCTTCTAAACTGCTGTGTGGACATTAGTCTCCGACCTAATTTCAGCTAGTTAGCATTAACTAAATCTGGCATCTCTGTCTCGTGTCCATTACGACAAATATATAACGGACAGAAATACCGTCCATCTGTGTTCTCTCCGTCTCCTCTGCGTTGGCTTTAAAATGGATTTTTCGGGGGCGTGGCTATATTGATCCCTCACAAAACGCTGTATCTTTAGCCTCTCCCCCCGCTACTTTTCAAACATTTACTCCAGAGACGAAGGACATGGTGTCACTTCCTGTCATTGATCATGTGATCTACCCTAACCCCCACAAGCCTTCTCTGACCACATACTTGCTGCCCAGCAGTGCGGTGTTCTCAGGGGGGTTTAGGATAAACACTCAGCTCAAGGAGCTACATGATTAGCACCACTATCACTGACACAAAAGTAATAACAAGAGTAACAAAAACACTTGTATTAAAAAAGTAAATTATTCATACTGACCTTGGTGTCAAAATCTCCCTCATCATCATCATCATCATCATCTTGCTCCTGAGACACAAAGACAAGATTTAAAGGAACCCCTGGTTAACAAAAAATATACCAGGACTGCTGCTATTATTGTTATTATTATTATTATGTACTGTGTAAACAGTGATGCCCAGCTGTCTGGTACAGCCGATCAAACTCAGTGTCTTTACTCACCTCTTCGTCTCCCTCCTCCAGCTCCTCCTCTTCAAACTGCATGAAGAACACACACGAGGTTAAACAGTGATGACCAGTTTAGCTTATATGTCCTCAAAACATACCATGTTGTGGCTTTTTCAGTGCTCAAGAGTAACGTCGGCGTGTTAGAGGAAAAACACTCACGCTCTCGTCATCTTCCAGGGCCTCTCCAGTGAAATACAGCACTGCTCTGGGAACTATTCTCTCACGGAAGAAATGCCCAATCTCAAAGTCTGTGGCTAGGGTGAACTCAGAGTCCTCGTCCTATAAAACATGAACACATAAAGACCCGTTTAACACCGCTACAAATACCATGGATTTATGGTAACAGAAGAAGACATAAAATGGGGTGGGGATTTTATGAAGGACAAGCTACATTTACTCACCATTTCTCCATCTGGTGAAGCTGTAAGGGAAAGGACATTTCAGTTAAGCAATACACACCTCAACACACTGCTCTACAATGACTATACAGGGCAATTTAAGGTATATAATTCAACCAACATCTGGAAGCCCATTTAAGGCAACAACCATGCTTATTATCAATGACATCACAACATCCACATAAAGTGACGGTTAGCAAACAGCCGTGCTCCACCACGCTGGCAATAACGTGACGTCATCCTTCCTCTTCTTTCAACAATACTGTAATGGAGGAAATGGCTTTGCTACTCTTCAAAGAATCAGTGTTTTAAAATGTACTCCAGCATTGGGGTTCACTACTTTACAAATATCAACATATCTGAACGGCACAAAAAGACTACATTTTAAACCAATCAAATAAAAAACAATGAATCTTGTTCACACAGCCATGAAGCATGCACTCTGTTCCACATGACCGGTGAGTGACGGCTTCTTCACTAATGGACATCCAAACCCCAGAAGTGCACACCTGAACACACTTGAAGAGCCATTTATATCCACCAGTCATACACCGAGGCCGTGACAGAACCGGTAAGACAAACATCTGCTGAGACAATGAGTGATCAGGTTGACTTCTCTAAGTCAGAAAAGGTCCAGGCATGTCTGACGGGTAGGTTGACTACACAGGAAGGAGGATACTGTAATTAAATAAAAGGTGTATTCTGCCTAAATTACTGATCCTTTGAGAGAGAGAATGACTCATTTCAAGATATTTGAATCCTGAAGTCAAACTGAGAAGATAAAGGATTATCTTATTGTCTAGACTGACCTCCTTTGTCTTTTAACCAGTAAGGTTACATAATGAATCAAATGTTTGCTTTTATCATTTAAATAAACTAAAATCAGGTAAAATGTAACAATACAAAGGCTATTTTTTTAGCCAAACCTTGGTATTCCATCCGCTGCTGTAAATGCATTTACAAAACTCATTTATTAACATTTATTTATTCGTTTGAAGCTCTTTGAGATGCTAACTCTTGAGCTTGCACTATATATATATAAACTCAACACGTACAGATGTTCTTAATCGCTCATCAGATATTTTAAGAACATATTTAGGTAGTTAGACTGTTGTCTTATTTGTGCTCTTGCCATTTTGCCTCAAAAGTTTGAGTCAGTCTGACTGTTTAACAACAAAAGCTCCTTAACTCTCCAAGCTAGAGAATATGATGTAAAACGTTCCAGTGAGTGCAACTTCCTGGACACAACCCAACATCTGCCAGCATACTGGCTGCCTACATGCAGCAGAAGAACTGCTGAATCTGACAGTTTTGGAGTCTGCCGCCACCTGCTGTTGAATTCAGGTTAATTCAGTGACACGCAACTTGTTGCCACAGCGTCTGCAGATGAACTCAGCCATGTTGACTGTCAAGCAATTATATTTGTGTGAGTTTCAGTGATTCGGAGTTTGCACAAGGAGTTTATTTAGAGAGTTACTGCTATAAGAGACGAGTTTAAGTATGACTAAAAACTTTGATTATTAAATTTAGAAATTCAGTAGATTTTGTGTGCATCTATTTCTGTGTTCTCACCTTTGACCGGGTTAAAGAAGTTGAAGAAAGAGTCATTGGGGACCTGTTTGGTAACCGTGCGGACAGTGCCACGGCCTTTATGCTTCTGCTTCTTCTTAATAGTTTTCACTGTCACATCCTTCCCCTTGTGCCAGTCTATCTGACAGCTAAAGAGAGAGAGATGTACAAAACAGTGAGAGGCGGCAGAAAGCAAAGACCAAAAAAGGTAAAAGTTGGTAGAGGTGCCAAGAGGAGGCTGATATGTGGGATGCCAAGTCAAGAGATGAATATAGAAGGAGTGAAAAGAAATGTCTTACGAAGCACACGATCTCTACTTTATCCTAAACCTCAACATCATTTGTGTAGAAGCCAGTTCAACCATCATGACTGTTTCTCTCACCCTTCACAGTCAATGATCTCTGGCCCCTCGAATGAGAACGGCTCCGCGTCATCAGGTTCTGACTTCATCCTGTAGACTTTAGTGAGGACTGCATTGTTGAAGTAACCATTGGACTCAAAGTGGAACTCTAATGTGAAACTCTGAGGGGGGAGACCAAGATAGAGAGACAATTTTATCTCCATCGAGTTTATCAACTTGGAATGATATCAAGTCATTATTATAACATTATGAAACTGACCATTGGTTGTCCTGGCTCAGAAAACTTGACTTGAATATCTTTCAGGTGCTTTAGGATGGGCTCGTCGTGTTCCTGGTGGAAGATAAACAGTCAGATCAGAGACGCATGAAACACATTCAGAACAGTGACATGTGTATCAATCATTTAAATGTACCTGCAGCATGTCACTGAGCATGTCCACACTCTTGAAAATGGTGAGCCAGAACTCGGGGATGCCTTTTGGATCTTCCCTTGGCGTGGCTTCCTCTTTCTTTGCATCCTCAATAGCAGCTTTTTCCTTTACCTCCTCCTACAGGAAGTGGGCAGAGCACTTATCAAAATTCAATGTTCACCAAAATCTAAACAACTTAGCTAGTTAAGCTTTCGAGGGTCCTACAGCTTGAGGCAAGTTAGATTTAAGACTTTTTAAAGCCACTTGGAATGAAACTGAAGACCAACTCTCCAGCCCAAATTAAATGGAAAAAACACAGCAATTACTTTGTGTGTTGTTTGACTTGACAGTTTTGTGTTTCTTAGGATTAGTGTCCATATACCATTTTGCACTGGGGACACCAACGCTCAGGAAAAACAAACCTATGTACACTTGGCCTCACTGTGGGATTCCCCTGCATTCATTCTCATCTTGCGGAGTTTGAAACACGTACAGCAGAAAGTACAACGTGCCTCTTATTCATTGACTGGTACCAGTTGCAGCCATGCTGTGTAACCGTGGTTGAATGGCCGATTGTCATTGAATTTGAACTTCCCCATGTCGTCGCGAGCTTGCAGACAGTGTATCTGCTCTGAGCATCCCGGCCCCTAACAAAATACGAGTGGTGTTGTTTCCGCTATCCTGGTCTGTGTGACTCTAATGAAAGAGACATTCGTCAATTATCTAAAAGAATTGTCGCAATTATTTTGAAATTTTCAATTGCAATGTGAGAAAAAACTCCAACTTCCTATGTCTGAGCATTTTAAAGATTGTTTTCACCGATTAAGGCCTTTTTTTTTAGATGAATGAATTCAATACCTTTTAGGACTTTTTAAGGATCAGCAGACACCCTGATAGACGTCTCATTGAGACCAAAGTCTTTTACAATTCAGCTATCACAGTTTGTTAGCCCTAGTGATTCTCATTAAAACCACATTTCCCACAATCCTGTTTCCTGTTGGACAATTTCAGCAGACTTTTGGTAACATTGATGAGATTAAGTGACCTGTCTGATTGTAAGAAAATTATTTTCCTTTAGTGGGAAACTGTGTGGAGAACCTGAAGAATTAGGATTTGGCAAAGTGATCAGGCTTTTAAGAGAAACAAAATCAAATCTGTACTTACAGCTAGCTCCTCCTCTTCCTCTCTGTCACTGTGCCACACACACTCTTCATCTGTGGGTTCCACTGTTCCTGTGACAAAATCTCTTCTCTGTGACACACATTCATTACAGCAAAGTTAATCATTTTAGAGAGGCATTTGGGAATATTAGCATGAAATGTATGTATGTGTGTATGTATATAGATATATATAGAGATATATAGAGATACATACATATATACATACATACATACATACATACACACACACACACACACACATACATACACACACACACACATTCATTCGATAAGGCTGAATTATTTCAGCAAGCAGCTATCTATATATATATATATATAGATAGATATACAGATATAGATTGTGCGCGCACAGACAGGTGCAGCAGCATTACAGCTGACAGTCTTCAGTGCGACTAGGAATGGCTGAGTTCTTGTCACTAGCTCTGGAAATAGCCTTGACTGACAAAAGTACAGACGACTACTCGTTATAGCAGTTTTCAATTTAGCACCAAGGATGCATCCTCACTGACATCATATCAGACCAGAGAGGCACACTTAACCACCCATTAGTGCAGGGAACAATTCAAGTGATTATTAGATATTTGGTCTCTTAACAAATAACAGACATTGTAAGTTGTCTTTTTTCCACTAGCTTTTGCTCTGTTTTCATGAACATAAAATTAGCAAAGGAAATGTGAGACATCTGGTGTTGTAGTCAAATGAAGTAAAGAAAAAAGCGAGTGTACCTTGTCAAACAGTGGCTGATAGAGGGCAGCGTACTTTCGCTCTAACTCGTGGACCTCCTCGTAGAATTTGGCCTCTATGTTGGCACACTGCACTTGTAGCCTTTTCAAGGCATGCACTCGCCTCTTCACTACTTTGGGAAGCATGCTACGAGAGAACAGAAACATGAGAATGATTTTAGAAATGATTCTATTATCAATTATTTAAATTGACAATCATTAATCCGGTAGTGGCGAGTCCTCCACCTAGGTGGTTGGGAACCACCAGATGATCTCAAGATGTTTTATGAGATTGAAAGATGATTTTGTTGGTGTTTGGTATAAGGGTTACAGCGATAGTGTATCTTTTAGCAATAATATTTCTATAGTCTCAGTCAACAACTTTATAAGAAAGTAATAGTTAATAATCTAACAAACATTTGTTTTACAAGTGTGAAAAGTTTTGTTTAATGACAGAAGAATAGTTTAATGTATTGAACCTCGATTGGATAATTGTGTGTGCAGTTTGGCATCCATTTGATTTTTGGGTATTAAATTTAGCATTTAGTATCTGATGACATCAAGGTCACAAACCTGATGTCACAAAATGCTCACATTACATAAATCTAGCATAAAACATCTGCACTGACCTTTCCATGAAGTGGCTGCCGACAGGTTTTTCAATCTGCCCACCTGGATTTTGCATCCCTTGATCCCCTTTACCTGCCAAGACTAACAATGAACATTGTTGCAGGTTAATCATCACACAAATTGCTTTTTTATTGACAATAATTCATTAATAATGTTTGACTGTGGCTTTACAATATTACACACTTCAATTCATTAGTACTCAAAGAAATACTTTGTGGAAATTGTTACGTTGTGTTTTTGTCTAGAGTTTTAGATGTTGATTCAACTTTTTTTGGGGGTAAAAACAATAATTTCAAGTTTCACATGGTTTGTATTAGTCTTTGTTGCATGCAAATACACACAAATATCAGCTTATGTTAAACCCCGAGTCAAAACAAAATGAACTAACGTTCCCTACACTGAATATCTACTTTAGTGTGGTAAGTTAACTGAAAATGCGTTTGTCTTTACCTTTATTGGCTTCCATTACCAAGTGGCAGCTCCTTCCTCTAATAAAGACGGATCAATTGTGTTAGATAAATACTCATCATGAGTCACAGACAGAGTAACTACAGAGTCAGCAACAGTGTGAAGGGAGGGTCAGTTGTTCACTCGCGAGCACATTCTTTTAAGTGCGAGACGTATTTCACTATAACATAACCACAATATTACGACAAGTCTCCGATTATTTTACGAGTGACAGAAGCTGAGACGAGCTCCAGCTGGTTAGACCAGCTGAGCTAACCGATCAACAGTAACACGGGTGTTGAGCAAGCGCTGGCCGATGACGCATTGACATGCTAATGGCAGCTGGGCTAGGATATGACAACCAAAGTTAGCATCTCTCCTTTTACGATGAACAAAATGCTTATCGCGGACTCTGACAGTTACAGAAGAACAATGATAAAGCAATATCAAATGAGTCTACGCACTTACATGGGAAGACAAACAACCACATACTAATAACTACCTAGTATGGGCGGTGAAAAAAATCTGACAGCAGCTAACCGGGCTACCTAGCTAGCAAGAAGCTACTAGCCAACGTGCTGTGAACAATGCTTTAGCTAACACAACAAGTGCAAAGGTTACCACGTTTAGGTTCCAATGACCTTTTATCCGCTCTGCGCACACAACAATCAGGATAGTGTGTGCTAATGACTTGATGTGGCAACAATGCTATGGCTTCCCTTTATGTAGAGAAAACTGCCCGTCAATACCAGTTAGTTACGGCTACTAGCATACTGCTAGCTGCATTGACAAGCTAATATCAGCTAACGTTAGCTCGCGGGTTAATAAAAGCACAAGTGTCAGAGCAAAGTGTCTTTTGGACAGTTCACCGGCGGCCTGTCACACTAATGAGATAACTCGATACGTTACTGATTAATATCCTAACGTAGTCGCAAATGCTTGTATTAAGGAAACGTCTGTGTTTACTAGCTGTTCTAGCAATCTTACCTCTAGCTGAGCGGAATTCTAGCTGGTCGCCTCGCTCACGCGTCTTCGCTTCAACCCCCACGCACGAGGAACACACACGTGCCCCAGCATCCTGAATTCTCATTGGACAGCTGGTGAAGGAGGGCATGGTGCTGCGTTCAAGTGCTTCGTTGCGAAAATCTCAATCCTGTATGCCATAAAAGTATTACTCAATCATCTGTGTTCTCTCAAATAAACAGACAAATAAAGGTTTAACAATAAGTGTTTACAAAAATATAATTCTCATCTCAAACCCTTTGCAGCAATCATATAAAATAACAGACAGACAAATTACAGCATTATTGTTGAATACATCTCAATAATATGACTCTTTTACAATTTCTTTATGTCTCTGTTTTCAACAATAACATGTTTTATGGTTTCTGTTCTGTTCATTTTGCTCTGATTGTCAAAGTTCCCTTCATAGAGAGATCACACAGAAAACACAAAGTGCTTTGATTAAATATGTGAACTACAAAAGTACAAATGAGGTGCGTCTGTAAGCAAATCAGAGATGAATGTAATGCTCATTAGTGTGAGTATGTGTATGTGAAATTAAAGTGCAGTAAAAAAGCAAACGGTGTAAATTGGCATGCAGGCCAGGGGGAAAGGGTGAGATGATTGATGTAGTCTACACTCCTGAGCCATGCCTGTAGCCTATCACTGACAAGCTCCCCGCTTTACCCTCTGACTTTATTTCAAAGCTGCAGATCAACAAACTATGAATTCAGAGGAAGTAAAATGATAAGGATAACAATTCCATCTTACATCATCTTAAAGCTTTGTGAGATGTAAGATGACTCTTCAAATAACACACAGACATGCAGCATTTTATATGAGATTCAAACTGCAAACATCTTAACCTTCTGTGAGTGTTTATCCAGATTAATTACACTTACATTTATACATTTGGCATGTACGCTTTTATCCAAAGCCTTGAGAATCACACGTTTAGACCACAAGAGGGCTTTGTATTACCATGCTTCATAGGAGATGTCTCTATCTGTGTCAAACATACAAATATATGTGAGTGTGGTGGTGAGTGTGTGTACTTTTGTGTCTTTTGTGAATTGTATTCCCACCAGCACCTGTGCTTGTTTTCACTCTGACAGACACATTTGACAAACCCTGAGATTTTTTTTTTTCAAAGTCTGCAAGATTTTGCACACAAAAACATACTATTGAACAGGAGACAAATAAAATATATACATTTAGGTGAGCTGTGTATTGACTCGGTTGTAAGACATGGTCAGAGGGGCTGGTTGATGATTGGAATGAGTGAAGTTAAAATCTTAACAATTTTTCTAAAAGTAAGGTTAATGCAAAATATTCTCCCTGGCCTTCTATAGAAGTGATACACATGACCCCAACAGCACTACAGTAACAATGGAAATGCATGTTTTCCTTTCTTTTCTTGTCATTAGAAATTACTTCTCAAATTAGAAAATCCATCTATTTGGAAATATGGTCTTTATTTGAAAATGGTGAAACATGTGCTCATCTGTCCGTATTCCAGCATATTCTTTTGGAAATATGCTTTTTTTTTGCTGAAAAGCCTACTGGGTTACAGACATAAACCACTAAAATCCAGCCTTCTTTCTGTTTGCTATCATCTACTGGGTAGTCTACACACTTGAGAAGAAGTGACAGCACCAAGGCCCCTCAGGGTACGATTGTGGTGACCAGGCTTTGAGCGTGTCACACTGTGACATTTACCAGCAGGGTCTGTACTCACAGAAAAAACTCAAATGGGATTGAGTAGCATTTGGGCCGAGCCTGGGATCTAGAAACAAGTGTACAGTAATCGCTATTTTTGGAAATGTGGGGTGATTGTAGTGTTTTTTAAATGGAAAGTGGTTAAATGTACAGGGGTGCTCAGTGTGCCTCACTGTAAGGTGGATATTTGAGTTGCCGCTAATAAATCAAAGAACAAGAATTACTTTAAAAGTAATTTGAAAGCCTTTGATAGTTTTGCTACCCTCTGCAGATGTTAAAATGACTGTGATATCGTTAAGACAATAGTGACACCTGCAGCTCTCGCACAAAACTGTAATTAATCCTGACTTTACAGCTTCAGCCCATCAGTAAATCCCCAACTCTCAGATTACACCCCCTCTCAGTCTTTTGTACTTTTTCCGACAGAGTGGGCAGAAGCACACACCTGGCTGTTTAGATCATATGTATGCCGATGCATCTTCTCATCTCAGCTTTGCATAGCTGTGTGTACACATTTTCATTGTGTAATAGTGCAAGTGTTTGCACTGCACATATAGAGGATGCTCAATAAACTCTCATCACTTGTGTGCATTCTGTCAGATTGTCTATATCAAGCACTGTATATATAATTGATATTATGTCAGTAGAGAAAAACTACAGAATGGATGTTAAAACGTGAAATGCACATATCCATGCTCTCATCATACACCACTCTTTGTCTTGAATAGCTGAGTCTATGAGGCTGGATCGCAGAAAACATCACGGCAGAAGTTGCAACTTACAAGATCCACTTACTTGATGATGTAATACTAAGCGTAGCCCAAAGGTAAATGTGACTTCTCCCTAACCAGTGTGGGTCAAATGCATGTTATCTGAAATAAGTGTAGCATAGACTCTCTTAGTCTTTCTTTCTTGTTGTCTCTTACCCGTCCAACGCCAAAACAACATGTGTAAAAGTTGTCTCTACTAGCTTTGATTTTGCTGCTCTTTAATATTTTCTCAATGTTATATGTTTTGTACGTCTGTCTCATCTGTACATGTGCCACCTGCACATCCTGGAAAAGTCCTTGATGTTTCTCACTGTTTTTCCTTTGACAGGGTTTCTTGTGAAGTTTGATAGATTTTGTTGAATTGGTAAAATCATCAGGGAAGAATTTGTAATTTTGGGCTATACAGACCGAACTGACTTGACTTGAATAGGTGGACTGTGTTATCCTGCAGGTTTTGAATCCTTTCTTGATTTGTTCTTGGTAATCCGTTTTAACTCTGACTTCTTTCTCTCAGTCTCCAATGCAGGCTGTATCCAAAAACAATCATACACATAGTACATTTGATCAATGTTTAGCCCGTACAATCTTGAATCCTGATTATTTCTGAGTTTGCCTGTTCTTCCCATCATTTATTTGGTTGCTCTGGTTTGTTTCCAAAACATGTATTAACTGAACAGATTCTCAAAATGATCAACAGGTGTAAATGTGTTTGTCAGTGTTCATGTAACCAACTGGTGACATGATGACATAATATCCTTGACCTCTGCCACATGCATGCTTAGATTGGCTCCAGGTGTTGTGACCATGAATAGAAATGAGAGAGTACAAACAGCAAATTAATGATTGATCCTTTGTATGTAATTGTCTTCACATTTTCAGACATTGATTAGGCAATTTCTCAGCATTGATAGGCTGAATGTGGAAATGTATGGCGCAGACAGACCTAGAGAATGATCTGTTCATCATTTAGAAGCTTTCTAAACAATATTTTTACATTTGAAAAGAAGGTACACATTTTGTTGCCTATATTGGCCATTGTCTGGAATAAGAGTGGTCTGGATGTGAAGGTGGCCAGTCAATGCACCCATTGTAATCTATTGTTCTCTGTCTTTCTTTTGTGTCCTTGTTTCTCACTTGTCTTGCTTGCCCACACAAAAAAGAGAAGAACAGAATGGACATCTTCCTGTAAGTGGATGTCATGATAGCCCTCGTCTTTTCCCTTTGATTGGACACGTAGCAACAGCGTCTACGTCCATCTCATCCCACTGGGGTATTGGTTTTGTGAATGAAGTGGACAAACTCCCAGATGGCAGTATTGATATGGCCGGGAGGACAGGGCAGCATTTACGAGCCATCCTGCCCCTGCATCCTCTGTCGTCCATTAAGCCCCTCTCCTTCTAACGCATGGGTAATGGCCTATCTGTGCACCATAATCAGACAGACACACACATACACACTGACTGTAAAAAAACATCAAAATAAGACACACACAAACAAGCGCACACACAGCGGTCAGCCACATTGACACAGCTGCAGTCATTATTCACAGGAGGTGTTCTTTGGGTGAGGGGGGTTAGGATGAAAAATGGCAAGCGGAACTACTACATCTCCTCTGAGGTGGCTGCGTCACAAGGCCCTGCATGTGTTACAAATTCATCGGAGCCATCGATCCAACTTATGGCAGGCTGAGTTCTCTGCTCACGCTTTACGCGATTTGAGTGCAATTTACTTTCATCTGCACCGATAAGCAATTTCAATCATGACATCTTCTTGTTTGTTTTTTTCTGTTCGTTGTCCTCTGCGCTCTCCATCTTTCTGATTCTGCAACGACAACTAAACCTTTTAGCCACTGAAAATACAACAACCCATAACACCTATCACACGAGCAGACACACACAGAGACAGTTTGTGTGTTGATAAAATGTAATTGACTAGTTTTTCCCCCTATTATTTCAGCATCAACCTTTTGGACAACAAAACAGGGTTTATTCAAATTCTGACAGTTAAGGATTTTCTGTCAAGGGCACACATGCTTTCATTGCTTTCATTATTGATTAAATTCGTCTACAATTGTCTTTTTTTATAGAATTAGTTTAATTGGGTTTTGTGTACAAACTTCAAGCCGAATTAGTGGGATTTAAAAAAAATTTAAATAGAATTGTGTAGATTCATACAAAAGTAGTTCCTCTAAATTTTCACTTTTGACCTGAAAATGTGTGGCAGTGTCTGTATCTGCAGAGATTCTGCCGTCTAGCCTGTAGTCTCTTATTTTGCTGTATTCGAGTAGTTTAGGGGCGTCAACCTCTATAAAAAAACGCAGAGACCAGGTGCCAGATCATAAGCACACATCCAAGAGGAAGCTACGAAAATGGCGGCCACAGCACCAGAAAAAACCCCGCAAATATAGCAAGGCGAAACGCCAAGTGGACGAAACCCGTAACAAAACGTGAGAGAATCTGGGGTTGCCTTACAC